TAACGCCTTTCCATAACTCATATGGCATCTTGTCCACCTTCTTCCGAGGTAATTTATTCAGAATGTAATTTGCAGAGAGAATTGCTTCCCCCCACATGTTCTGTGGCAATCCAGAACTTATCAACATTGCATTCATCATTTCCTTTAGCGTCCTATTCTTCCGTTCAGTAACCCCATTTGATTGAGGAGAATAAGGCACCGCGGTTTGGTGGATAATCCCGGATTGAGCACAAATCTCAATAAAAGGTGATTCATACTCACCACCACAATCATTTCTTAAAGCCTTAATCTTGCGGCCTACTTGATTCTAACCAGGCTAGTGTCCAGGGCCACACAGGGCACACCAGTGAGAACAGAATGGTGTTAGGAGTAATTCCCGTGTGAGATTTATTGTCTCAGTTTACATAAACGACAGAGCAGTTCAAGATGTCATATTCACTGATCAGCCAGTAAACTCGATAGGTTTTCACTGGGAGAGGTTCAAAGCCAAAAGCTACCTTCTCTGATGTCGGGGTTAGTCCGTTGTACTCTCTCTCAGAGTCATTATTGTTGAACGGTGTTCGTTTGTTGAGTCATTCGGTCAATTTTTATTCATGTGGGGGATTGTTGGAAAAAATGGTTTTTTGGTGACTTTAATTAAATATTAAAGTGGGTCCCAACCATCTATCGTGTTGGGTCCAAGTGGGTCTAGATACTTTGCATTGAGATCTTTACACCACAGATAGAATGGCCAAAAACCATTGAGATTTGAATGAGAAATTACCTCATGAAGTTAGCTTCATGGAAAAAAGGTAATGAAGTTTGTAACTCCTGCATTTATTACATAGTTTAATAGAGCATTAATGGGGTTTGTAACTCCTGCATTAATGGGGTTTGTAACTCCTGCCTTTATTGCAGAGGTTAATGGTGCATTATGAACAGCCATAAAGGCTGGAGGCTCTTCCTCTCTCCCCTATACATGTATATATTGAGACCCTCCTGTCAAGTCTCAAACACAGAAATTTTTACTTCCATTTCACAAGTCAGTTTGCCTGAAAGTTCCTACAGTGAGAGAGTGCTGCCACTGTTTTGTTCGCTAAGCTAGACAGAGAGTGCTTCTGCCGTAGCTGGTTTTGACCGTCGTATCATGGTAGACAGACGCCGGGATTCCTTAAGCACTCGACTAGTGAGGCGGCGAAATCTGTTTTAAGGAAACTGCTTCCGTGCAGGCTTCGGTTTCGTCTCTTTACCCTTTTATTGTTTTATGTATTTTTGTTGAAATTTAGTTATAATTATTAGCATGTGTTCTTAGTATATATATAATTTGATTTCTTCATAAATCTATTTATTTAATTTCAAAATTTGAACAACAATTATTTGATTTAGTTTGTTTAGGCCTCGTTTGGCAACTGGCTGGTTCAGTCAAAAAGTTAAAAAGTTACTGAAAAAGTTAAAAAGTCAACAATTCATATCAAAAAGTTAAATATTCTCTTTTTTTTTTTTACTTTTTGCACATCTTTTCATAAAAAGTTAAAAAATCATCCTAAATATACTAATTTTTTTAACACATATTTTAACCAAATAACTAAAAAAATACTAAATTAACATGTTCCGAAAACGAGGCTTTAGTTTGCTCGGGGAAGATCTGACATCTGCAGGGCATTTACGTCACTTTCCTTGCTTGTTGCGCTACGGTTTCCACTATTCATGTATGACTTACTTAGTTTATTAATATTTTTTGTGTTATAGGTATTTTTTGTTTGATTTAATTTTTAAAATTTATTTACAAATTATAAATTAGTCCCATAAAGGAAAAATTATTTATAAGTCCTATTAGGGAGACTTATGCTATATATGATCCTATTAAAAAATTTATATTCTCATAAGTCCTGTGAAAAGTTTGTTGACACATTTACCCTCAATATTAGTTGTTAATATCATAAATAATAGTAAAACCATATATGGGAAATTGAATATTATCATAGATCATATTTATATAAACGCAATGTAATGTGACACCTACATAAACGTAATGTGACACCTATACGTAACGTGACACCTACATAAACGTAACGTGACACTTATGATTTATGGCAACATTCAATTTCCTATATAGGAAATTGAATATTATCATAGATCATATTTATATGAAACGTAACGTGACACCAATATAAACCAACAACATTTTCACATTCAATTAAAAAAATAAAACTCATTAAGTTTGCAAAATGTAACGTGACACGTTACATTACGTTTATGTAGGTGTCACGTTACGTTACGACATTTACCCTCAATATTAGTTGTTAATATCATAAATAATAGTAAAACCATATATAGGAAATTGAATGTTACCAGAGATCATATCTATATAAACGTAACGTAACGTAACGTGAAACCTACATAAACGTAACGTGACACCTGTACGTAACGTGATACCTATGATCTATGATCTATGATAATATTCAATTTCCTATATAGGAAATTGAATGTTACCATAGATCATATCTATATAAACGTAACGTAACGTAACGTGAAACCTACATAAACGTAACGTGACACCTGTACGTAACGTGATACCTATGATCTATGATCTATGATAATATTCAATTTCCTATATAGGAAATTGAATGTTACCATAGATCATATCTACATAACGTAACGTAACGTGGCACCTATATAAACGTAACGTGACACATACATAAACGTAACGTTACACCTATGATATATGGCAACATTATTGAATGTTAATATAGATCATATTTATATGAAACGTAACGTGACACCAACATAAACCAAAAATATTTTCACATTTAATTTAAAAAAATAAAAACTCATTAAGTTTGCGGGTTTATGTAGGTGTCACGTTGCGTTTATGTAGGTGTCACGTTACGTTACGCTTATATAAGTGTCACGTCACGTTACATTTATGTAGGATCTTGTGGAATACATTCCTATCTAAATAGGACTTGAGACTCTATAAGAAATTACACAGGATTTAACCTATCATAAGTGTCTAAAAAAGGACATATAAATAAGTCTCCCTAGATTTTATAAGAGAAAAGAAAAAAAACAATTTTATGTTATATCACTAAAATAACCTTTTTATATTTTGTTAATTATTTTATTTTTTTTATTTTTACGTGGACAAAATTAATATTATAAAAATATAAGGATATGTTGATTTATTTTCACTCACAATCTCTCTACTTTTAAAAGAACTAAAAATAAAAATTATAAGAGAAATAATTTTTTTTTTATTTCTTGCCATTTCTCTCCGCTAGGTTATCCAAATAAGAGAAATACACAAATTTTTTTTTTCTCTCCTCATAACTCATTCCAAAGTGTAACTGACACGTCAACGTAGTTTTTTTCTGTTTGGTTTCCGAGAAAATCCACTCAACTTCCTCCTGCACCACCTCAAAAATGGAGAAAACATGGCCAGCTCGATCGAATGCTTCTCACTTCACTGCACTCCCACTCATAAACAAAGTCAAAGACAAAGACAACAACGACATCGACCAATTCGATCTCTTCTCCAAAAAACTCTGCTTCAAATTCCCCCCCAAATTCACCAATTCCTCGTTCCGTACCACCCGATTCTTCTCCAAATCATCGCCCCCCTCCACCTCGCGCCCGTCGAGCCCCCGCGACTTCTCGATGCTTCCGGACGACGTGCTCACCAAAATCGCCGCGGCTTTCAGCCACCCGAACCTTCAAACGGCGTCGCTCGTCTGCAAGTCGTGGAGGGACGGTCTTAGGCCGCTGAGGGAGGCGATGGTGTTTTTGCGGTGGGGGAAGCGGTTCAAGCACGGCCGCGGCGGCGTGAAGCCGAACCTCCAGAAGGCTCTGGACTCGTTCTTGAAAGGGGCGGCGCGTGGCTCGACGCTTGCTATGGTTGATGCTGGTCTTGTTTACTGGGAAATGGGGAAGAAGAAGGAGGGGATTGCTTTGTATCAACGCGCGGCGGTGCTCGGTGATCCCGCCGGTCAGTGCAATTTGGGGATTTCGTACCTGAAAGGTGAGATTTCTTGAATGGAAACCCTAATTTGCCCTAATTTATATGTATGTGTAGTTGTATAGTTGAGTGAAAATGGCTATTTTTTGTAATATCTTGTAATCTTTGAAACTATAGTAAAAAACTGCAGCAGCGGTTGCCTTAGTTTGGGTTTTTTGTGTATGCGTGTGATTTATCTTTATTGTGTGTTTGTTCCTTTATATGTTTCTTGTTTTACTAATCCTGATTAAGTGTTACAGATTCCTAACACATTGGCCATGAATTCTTGAGTATCTAAATATTAAGGGTTTGAAAGTTGCAGTCTTGTTGTTGGTTCAAATTTACATCTTTGCGGCATGTGCATTTTATTGTGAATGAAACTGGACCATAAATTTTGTGTACTTCTAGTAGTTACACTGTGGGTTTGAAATTACCAGAATTGCCCGTTGCTATTGTGTTCTCTGCCACGGATACTTGATTACCTCTACCCTAGTCTTCCACAACTCTTACTAGTCAGATAGTGAAATTGTTGCAAATGATGAATAGCATAGTTGAAAGAGATTGTTTATTCCTGTTGTGCTATACAAAGCGAGTACCACCTTTTTTTCCCACTGAAGTTGTATATGGGCGGATATTGGTGAAAAATGCAAAGCATGCCAAATGTAATGCAACATATCATGGCAAGCATACAATGTTCCTAATATGCAATGCTACAATGCAACTCATCACGTAATACTAATATGGTACAATGCACGCATGCAATTAGAGGCAACAAGTTAAACATACAACCATGTCTAAGAAGGGACGTAGACTGAAATGGGAGGCCTCAAACACCCCCAAAAACAGTGGCTAAAAGTGCCTTAAGTGATGGACAAAATGCACTACAAACATGCAAGCCAAAAGGGGGGTCAAAGCTAAGGCATAACAAAGGGCATTTTACCACCACTAACCCAAACAAACATGGCATGAACTATACAACCAAAAACAGAATTTTAGCATGCAAAAGAGCTCCAAAAACCCACACATATGGCATCCCAAATGAAATAAACACCTAGGCATACACAATGCACGTTTCAAGGCATAAGAGGGTACAACTTCAAAGCATGCGAGGAGCGATGAATGCAAGTATACAAGCATGGTTTAGGGACTGAAATGATATGCTAAGTGATTCCAAATCAACGAAATAGCCTAACCAATGCATGTTTATGACCCATACCCTTAAGGCTCATGATTCAAAATGCAAAGCAACTATATCAAGCATGCTAAAAAAGACCAAATCAGTGGCCAACAGACCTCATACATGGCAAAATATGGTCAAGAACTTCACAAAGTGAAGCCAAAATATGAGAGCATGGTAGTCAAAAGTCATGATGCATTTCTAGGCACAAACAAAGGAATACAAAGCAAGTATGTTAAGCATGCAAAGGGCCACCAATCCGACCCAAAACAGAGATAACATGTGACCTAAATAGAACCAAAAACATCTGATATGGAGCCAAAAACAACCAAGCATATATGCTACCCTTATGAGCCCAAAACATGCACAAATGAGACACAAAGGGAGAGGGGTGCCCCTCCCTTATACAAGACTTAAAACCATCTTCTTCACCACTGAAAATCCACTGGATTTCAGTGGTGGGAAGGCTAATACAACAAAGCAAGTAAGGCTTAAAGAAGAAGACACCAAAAGGGGCCAAAAGAGACCTAAGAGGGGGATTTCGACCCCCAATGCCAAAACACCCTCAATGATAGTTCTTAATCATGAAAATATAAGACTTTTTTTTAGTTCTACACAAAGCTCAAATCAATATGCAAGATAGGTCAAAAGCCAATGCAAGATTGGGGAAACTAAAGTGAAAGTCTTACCCTTGAAGAACACTTCAAGAACAGTTGGTCTAGCCACACTCTACTGAGCAAAATCAGTCCAAAACCTCAAAAAACAACCCTCAAAACCTCTCAATCTCGGAGCAAGGTGTAATGGTGTGTGTATTAGTGCAAAAGTAAGGTCAAAATGCACTTTTAAGCCAAGAAAACACACACAAGGGAGGAGAGAGAGGGAAATATAGAGAGAGAGTGTGTGTATATCAGATGTATATGTATATAAGCTCTGGTTTTTTATGTTCAAAACTCTAACCATCAACATGGTGGAGGAGAGCTCTTTATATAGGCAAAGGCAAAGGCTTAAGCTTCTCAAAGAAGCTAAGTAAAAAGGGGCAAAGGGTGCAAGGGGAGTCAAGGCTTCTTGAGGAAGCTAGGACAACTGGCCAAGCTTCTTGAGGAAGCTTTGACAAAGGGTCAAGCTTCCTCAAGAAGCTTTGACCAAAAGGGGCAAAACAGCCACTCCATGCACGGGGAGGAGTGTTGGTGCATTCCAGTTGGCACAGCTAGCATGCACCAAGTCTCAAGGGTGCAAAAGGGGCACACCGGCCAGCAAAATAGGTCACTGGCCCAAAACAAAGTGCCGGTCGGCAAACTATAGTGCCGATCGGCCATTGGTTTTAAGAAACCACTGCCGGTGGCACCCATAAATGGCCGGTGATGTGAGGGGACAGCCGGTGGGGTGTAGGAATGGCCAACAAGCTATTCCCTGCCTCTCAAGGAAAAAATACAAGTGTTAGGTGCAAAACCAGACACCGAAAAG